AATCACGTGAAGCCTTTTTGAAAAGTTTTTATTGCATTTTTGAACGAATCATGAAATCGCAATTTTTGAAATTTGAGCGTGTGGCGCAGCAATAGGAGGTCTTTAGACCGAGCCAACCATACTTATTTTAATTCTTTTTTGAGAAGACTGTTAAAAGATTATTATTATTGTGTTTTCTAGCAGTTCAAATTTGGATTAGGCATTCATTTTTATATAGACAAAATTTCATTTATAATCATTTAATTAATTTAATCATTATTTCATGTAACATCTTTTAATAAATGAATCCATAAATATGAATAATCTTTTATTTAATATTTAATATTTATATAAATTGCTTCTTTATAATGTAAAATAGAATTTCTCCAGTAGTATATAGTACCTCTTCAGGGACGATGATTTCTTTGACGATAAAATGTTAATATTTAAATACAAGTTCTGCACATTAAAAAACACTGTGTCCTGCATAATAATATATTCTGAAGTAATTTTCTATCAATTTATTTTATTGGTTATTAATATTATTCATTTTTATCTATAATAAGTATTTACAAATAGAAATTCTAATATTGAAACTGCGATAAAGATTAAATTTTGTCATTCTACGCTACAAGAAGGAATTGGCAATCATATATAATAATCCAATGCTATTCGAGATAGATTGGATAACAATATTTAACCAGTATTCATCTAATGTAACAGAACATCAAATGTGGATCCACAACAACAAATCGTCCGTTCATCCATTAAAACATTAGGTGGGTCATTTAATTCTTGAATGATATACAAAAATTTGCATGTGCGAAAAAGATGACGTCTAGAATAGCACCACTTTATTTACAGTGTTTTTAACTTTTTAAAGGGATATCTGCTATATAGTAAGGGCTTCAATTAAATAGTTTTTTTTTGGATTTAGGAGAAGAAAGAAAGTTAGGTAACAAATGTTTGTTGAAGTTTTATGTCGTTTATTTTCATACAGATTTCTTAGTTTATATGTTTTGCTCTTAAAATGGTCATCAACTGTTGGCTTTCGTGTTCAATCAACGGAATGATCACAAAATTACAAATAGAATTTCATTATCAATACGAAACTCACCTGAATTTTCTTCTACTCTAGTATTAAATTTATTTTTGTTCCTCTCCTCTTCATTATCACGTTGCTCTTTTTTTTTATACGGAAAATATTATGGCATTTGTATGTCACAAAGTGACAAAATCGACTGTCGATCTTTTTTATATTGTTGATATTTAAAAATTTAAAAAATCCAGAAATTTATATTTCAAGATGGATGGACATCAAAAGGATTTCAAGAGGTGGTAGTTAATTTTTCTATAATTATTATATTATTAATAGGATTGTATAATATATATTTAATATATTTATTGTTTATAAATAGAACAGGCAAAAGAAACGAAATCTAATTATTGTTAAATTAATAGTTTTGTATAATATATTTATTTTATATATCTATTTTTTATTAGATAGATAAATGTGTGTGGATAACAGAAACAATGTTGTTGTTCTATAATTATTGTTTATAACTGGTTAAAAATATTTACTAAATTTTGTGTCAAAATTACCCAATCATTATTATTCCGTTTTTAAATATATTTAATATTAATTATTAATATTGTAGATTATCAAAGTAGTATTATGACCCGGATTTTTAACGGATTGACGTTATTATTATGGACCCGTTAAAATAGCAAATTTTATTGGATAATATTAATAACATGGTATTAATACAGTAAACCAAAAACATTTATTTGTTAGGATTCCAAATAATAAATATTTACTTATTTGATTTTTATTTAATTTGGAGATGAATTGTTTCAAGTTTGATTCATTTCTTTTTAAGACATAATTTTTTTAAAAAAATCAGGTTTAATCCGTGTTCTTTTACATGTTTCTCTATGTTGTTTAAAATTTTTCTTTTTACTGAAAAATAATTTAACATTTTTTCTTAAAAGGATTGAAAGATTGTGATATTAATTTTATTTTAATAGTAATAGGTAGAATCATAATGAATTAATTAGATAAGTAAACATGGTCAAAAAGTCCTCACTTCAGCATAAAAAAATTTAATATTGTTGTTGTTGTTAATATTAATGGATCAGTGGATTATTAATTGTAATGTTAATATTGATATTATCGTTAACGAGTTAACGGATTGTTAACGGATTAACGGATTGTAACACCAAATCTTATTACTATTACTATTGCTATAATGATAATAATGATAATGATAATAAGCTAACCATAATTCGTTAACAACCCGTTATGAATAATTAACGTTAACCCGTTACAACCTGGTAATCCGTTAACTACCAGATAAGATCTTAACACTACAACGAAGTAATACATTGATAATTTACATATAAAATTGGCTATTGTTGTTGTTTATTTTTCATATTAAATAATTTAAAAAATAAAGATTTGATTATTATTATTTTTAGTAAACGCGGATCGGGTTATTTTTAAAATATAAATAAACAAACGCGTTAACAAAAGATTTTAATCTAATTAATTAATAGACTGTGGAACAAATAAAAACAAATTCTCTAATAGTAGTATATTTCTTGAAACGTTTTTTATATATTTATTATTTATTTATTTTTTAACTTGTAATTTTAATTACAATAATTAGAACAGATAATCATTAGATGCAATGACTATTTTTTATAACACTGGATCGTAAACAAGTTTTTAACGAGTTAAAGTCATCGTTTGATACCAGATTAACGCCTTTCTTTATCTTGATGTGATTGATTGATGAAATATAGTGAAAAAACGTTTTGCCACAAACTTGAGCCATGAAAGTACCAACAAGAAATTAATTTAATAAGACTGAATATATACTATAACAGGCTTGCAACCAACTTTTTGATATATTATATAAGTAATAGCATTAATCCACCTTTGAAATTATATTTTTGAATTTTGCAAAAATGTTTAAGACAAATAGTCACATCACTAAAACAAGTTTAAGCGGAAAAAAATTAAGATGGGTTAAAAATGTTAATAATGAAAAGGTTATTTCACCATTAATCTTTGTTTCTAAAGGCACATATAATCATGTTCAATTCATCCATTCGACTCAAAGATCATTCCATCTGCAACAACTCAACCAGTCATTTAGCCCCCAACAAAACAATAACAACAACAATATCAATACTGTTGTTAATATTCGTAAACAAGTTTTTAACGAGTTAAAGTCATCGTTTGATACCAGATTAACGCCTTTCTTTATCTTGATGTGATTGATTGATGAAATATAGTGAAAAAACGTTTTGCCACAAACTTGAGCCATGAAAGTACCAACAAGAAATTAATTTAATAAGACTGAATATATACTATAACAGGCTTGCAACCAACTTTTTGATATATTATATAAGTAATAGCATTAATCCACCTTTGAAATTATATTTTTGAATTTTGCAAAAATGTTTAAGACAAATAGTCACATCACTAAAACAAGTTTAAGCGGAAAAAAATTAAGATGGGTTAAAAATGTTAATAATGAAAAGGTTATTTCACCATTAATCTTTGTTTCTAAAGGCACATATAATCATGTTCAATTCATCCATTCGACTCAAAGATCATTCCATCTGCAACAACTCAACCAGTCATTTAGCCCCCAACAAAACAATAACAACAACAATATCAATACTGTTGTTAATATTAATAATCACGGTATTGGTAACGAGCCAACAGCAAATGAATTTACTGAAGTTTTCGTTAACGGTATGAGCTCATATAAAGAAGGCAATTACAGAGAAGAACCAAGTAATAATAGTGAGGTTATTCATCGATATTATTCTTCCAACCAATCCATCACATATTATTCTTCCATTTTTTAAAATTTTAAATTTTGTGAAAAAACCAAAAATGTTTAGATTTTTGTTTTGATTTTTATTATTTCGTACACAAATAAATATATATTAATATCAATTATTAACATAGTAAAAAAAAAATAAAAAGCCTCATGGAACATTTCGAATACAAAAATGAACATTATTCATCCATGTGTATTTGTATTAGTACTTAATTATACATGACGCATATTATTGTTGTTATCATTATTAATTCATGATCCATAATATTTGAAATAATGTGTAAATAGTTCTAAGAAGAACTTAATGGCATAAGAATATATATATGTATGTTTGTTAATATTTATTTGTTTCTTTTACTAAAGTACAGGCGCAATATGATGGAGATATGCTCCTTACCTTCACGAATTAACCATTTAATTAATTTCTATTTTTAAAATCATAATAAATAAATACAAATATTGATATAAATAAATAAACATCTTTTAAATTATTGTGTATTATTTGTGTGCAACTTTTAATATTTGTCTCTTTCCAATGTAAATAAGGCCTATTATTCATTCACGAGGTTAACAATAACGTTCAGAACGATATTAAAAAATAAAGATGACACATTCTAACTAGTGACTAAAACTCAAACTAAAAATTATGTGCGGTACCAGTACATTACTATACATTATTAGCAAGCTAATGTGAGGTCAGTAATTTTAAATGTAATTATATAAGCAATAGATAAATTTTGGCCATCAATATCTATAGGCCGTTCGAGCGTTTGCTTTCAGTATGATTGTGTTGTAAAAAGATTTTTCTTTATTGCATTTTTACTAGTGTTGGTCGCCAAAACTATTTTGAAGAGATGAAAGTCAAAACTAAAATTAAAAGTTATATACCAAAACTAAATCAAAAGTCAATGGTCAAAAATCAAAATTAGTTTCGACTTATGGTGAAACCTTTTGACTTTCGCACGTTGCGAAACTCTCTAGTTTTGGAAACCAACACTAATTTTTGCACCAGCTGCAAACATTGCTACCTTTCCTCACTTTGTTCAAGCCGAGGGTAAATTCGTGACACTGCCTATTTGGATCCTTCATTATTTTTTTCTTTATTTACGGAGTTTACTTTGCGAATAACAAGTTCCTCATTGGAAAAGTCACTCGTGGGAAAAAATCGCCTATCGGAGTGAGTATTCCGCAAATCAATTTGTACACATTTTGACAAATATAAAATAATAACAAATAACGATTTGATTTACCATGTTACTAAAAGTTGTTTAAATATTTTACCCAATTTGGAAATAAATTTTAATTAAATTAAAATGATTATTTTTTTATTCAACCGAAAATTTTTTTTCTTTTTATTCAAAACGAGAGAAATAAATACTTTGTTGGAAGTCGTGTTTCGTTTTAGTTGTGTGTAATTAACGGTGTCAGTCGTTAGTTATTTCTTCGTCTTTCTTTTGCATTTCAGACCACTCGAAAAGACCAAAAACTGACAGCCTTGTCTGGAGTCTTTACATTGACTGATAGAAAAAATATAATTAACAAAGATTTCACGTAATGAAATGTTTATGATTGTGACCTTTTTACAATAATTTCAATAGATTTGATAAAGTTTTCACATTTACAATAATTTTTTTATCATATGATTTCCTAATGTTTTTGATTTACTTTCACATATATGTATATTACAACGATTTCCATAATAATATTATAGGTTTATAATAGAATTTATTATTTATTATTCAAATGATTACATATCCATGGGATTGAGACTTATTTCATTTTAAAAATCGTTTAAAATGTTTAAATATTATTAATTTAATTGATTTATATTTAATGAAATTATTAATATTTGTTTCCAAAACTAATTCAATGAATTTGGATTATTCTATAAGCCTGAAAATTCAAACCAACTAATCAAAATCATTACAAAATTACATGAAAAAGCTGTTTATGCCAGTAAGCTTTTTAAAAATCTCACAGTCACAATCAATCTATGATAATATTTTTTCATACGTATCGCAAAATAACTGATATAATTTAATTTTTATCAAGATGCAAGTTCATTTTCTTTATGTAGCAGGATAACAGGAGGGGTTCTGGTTAGCTCTTGTTTGTGAAAATATAAATATTAGAAAATGAATACGTTTAATATTTTTTTTTTGTGTGTGTGCAATAATGCTTTCCTATTCTAATTGTAATTAATTAATCATTCTGCCCGCTTTCTCCTATATAGAAGCTCACAGAAGAAAGTGACACAGATAGAATTTCTACAGATTTTAAATTTGTCACACAAATTGGAAAAATTAATTCGATAATTATTAATTTTCATACTACACATCTAAACTCGATAAGTCGGACATTTATTTATATTATAAAGTACTTTAAACAATTGATTGCTGCGTCCGACTTATCGAGTTTAGATGTGTAATTATAAATAATTGTAAATCATCATCATAAACTGAATTTTTATAAGCCGAATTTATATCGTGTGATTCCCAAAAGTTCAGCTTATCAAGGCTTAACTGTATATTGAAAGGCTCCCATTATATGTTATATTAATAATATACATTTGCGCCATCCACGACATGTGACACGACGCGATCAAATAATTTTACCATTATATTATTTTATCATCATCATATGATGATTTACAAAGCCATTTAATTATTGGAAAAAAAACTGGATTCAACTCAATTTAGGTTTCAATCTTCATCAATGTATCTAATTACTATTTGGTATACTTGAAAGATTAATCAACGGTGGCTCAGGATGGTCCTTAAAATCCAATGATTTCAAAGGTATTGAAAACCATTGTTTATGTCTTTCTTAGAAAGAAATTGATGTGCCTTCCAATGGAGATCAAGAAAATTCTAAAGAAAAATATTTCCAAGTGGAATGAAAATGATTTTAAAGAATCAAAAAATTTTCTATACAATTTCTTCTAATGAGAAAATTGTCAAATACTTTTTCCCCAAAGTTATTTTGGAATAACCTTTCACAGTACAACAAATTTTAAATTTATTACCATCAAGAAGTCCCAAAATTTGAATCAATGCTTGAATCAACAACAATCAACAACAAGCTTATTGTAAATTGGATTGATAGAAAAAGCCTACCATGAAATTAACTCATTCAGTAAAGTTAAATATAAATTTGACTTTTATAGTTTGGATGCAACTAAAAACGTGATAATATAATATATCAACAAAACTCAAATTGAATAATAATTAGTAATTCATTTGATTGAAATGGCCATGGATATAAAAGACAAATGATTTTATATTTAACATAGGTAAACGTAATTAATAATTTGCCTGTTTTTGATGGTGGTGGTAATATTTTATAGTAAATCAACTATTTATAATAACATTAGTAAATGAAAGCTTTTCAAGTAATTAATTGGTAAAAACTAATGTAATAAATTTTAAATAAATTCTTGATTTTATTTTTAACATTGACCAAATTTAAATTTTAAAAAATAAATACAAATAAATATATAAATTAATAACAAAAATATATATAAAAGAAAAAAAATAAAAGAATGAAAAATATTTTTATCAAGCGACTAAATAAAAAAATTTTAAAACAAATAAACAGATTGAGTTAAAGGTAAATACTTGATAGGATCACAGGAACATACAACTCCATCAGCTTTAACAACATAAGTTTCTGGGTCAACCTCTATCTTTGGCAAATAATCATTCAATTTCATATCTTTTTTACCAATATTTCTACACTTCTTCACCGCCTCAATCTTCTTCTTCAAACCATAATGTGGTACTGTTGATTCAAGTAATGACAATTGACTAACAAATGCAAATGAATTTTTGGCTGCAGCTGATCCATATGAACCAAACATTGGTCTTGAAATAACAGGTTGAGTTGTTGGGATCGAGGCATTTGCATCACCCATTTGTGACCAAACAATTACACCTGACTTGATAACTATTTCTGGTTTTGTACCAAAGAATGCTGGATTGTACATCGCCAAGTCTGCTACTTTTCCAACTTCAATTGATCCTACCAAATGTCCTATACCACACACGATAGCACTACATATATTTTATTATATTTCCCATTCAAGAGATAAAAATTAAAAATTTATATTAAAAAAAAAAAAAAAAAAAAAGAATTAATAATTATAAGATTTATATACTTACGGGTTGATGGTGTATTTGGCAACATATCTTTTAATTCTGAAATTATCAGCCTGACCATCATTATCATCACCTAATCTACCTCTTTGGGATTTCATTTTGTGAGCAGTCTTCCAGGTTCTTAGCACCACTTCACCAATTCTACCCATAGCTTGTGAATCAGAACTAATGATACTAATAGCTCCTAAATCATGTAAAACATCCTCGGCAGCAATTGTCTCAGCTCTTATACGTGATTCAGCAAATGCAATATCCTCTGGGATATTTTTGTCAAGATGATGACAAACCATCAACATATCAACATGTTCGTCAAGTGTATTTGATGTATAAGGTCTTGTTGGATTGGTTGATGATGGTATAATATTTGGTTCACCACATACTTTGATAATATCTGGTGCATGTCCACCACCTGCTCCCTCAGAATGGTATGCATGAATTGTACGGTTCTTAAAGGCTTCTATTGAATTCTCTACAAATCCTGACTCGTTGAGTGTATCTGTATGAATATTTACCTAGTAATAAATATTAACAATATTAATATATGATTACTATTATTACTATTATGATATATATATTATTTATATACCTGGACATCATATTCTTCTGCAACAGCTAAACAAGTGTCAATGGCAGCAGGTGTTG